GCTTTAATTAAGTAGTTTTAAGTGCGCGTTTACGCATTTTTATGACGCTGTGGAAAAGGAGAAAAGAGAGGAAGGAAGGAGGGTGAGCTTGTAGTCCATAAACTGGGAAGCTGAGACCATTTGTGGATCCTAGTAGAAGCAGTTAAAGCCTTTTATAACTGCATTTCATAAGATTTAAAATAAGATATATCCGTTGAACATTCCAGCAGAAGGGTGTGAAGGCATGTTTTTTTGTTGTTTTTTTTACTGATTTCCTTGTTTAGAAAAGTCTCCAAACAACAAAGTAAAATATTGTGATGTGTTTGAAAAGCTACTTGGCAACAGGTTAGAAAGGAACATCCCAGAGATGATATGTAATGGGAGTTATAGCAGAGCTCAGAAACAATCTTGAAAACCAATGCAATTCATAACTAATCATTGCAGTTATATTTTCAGGGGTGGGTGTCCTATGGTAATCATTAGGATAACCATAAAGGATGGATGTGCAGTTTTGCAATCAGGATCTGGAAGGTATGTGCGTGGTGCATGTGGCTCAATAAATGTGAAGACACCAACAACTTTAATCATAAAATGACACAATGACATAATTTACAATGAATACCTTGCTTATTTCATCAAGACAGTGCCTAAATGGATTCTATTTGTAGTATTACAGACACACACACACAAATGCCAATGACTTGAATGTGAAATGTCAAAGACAGTTCACATAAGTTGATATTTTTGCTTTGATATAAACAAGATTACTCCAACTGCATTACAGCATGAAACATAATTGCACCATTTTGTCATGTCTATGTAAATTGTCGTTTTGTGGAAAAAAAACCCACAGGTCCACCTGACCTGGAGCCATAGTATGGACCGAGAACCATCAAATCAAGACCTAAAATCCAACTTCTTGTGGCACTAAACACAGGTCAGTGCTTTTACCCCACAATCGGCCAATCCAGTTTCATTTATGCAAATCAGCTCTCCTCCTGGGCCAATCACATCCCCCATGCATAAAGCCACTTCCCAATGGCCAATCATTTCACTTAATGGAACTGAACTAAAGGCATTTTAAGTGAATGGTCTTTCTATGAGGCGGGCAGGAATCTTCAGGCATGAGCACTCTGCAGAGCGCACGCTTCATTTGTGAGTTCGTCATGGGGAAGGAATGTGGTGCAGAGCCATGATGCAGTAATTTGGTGTTTACAAACAACACAAGTGTTACACACACTCATGCAAAGCCCTACCCCCCATTCACACAGACTCAGCCGGGCAGGATGGATGACAGTGTGTGATGTAATTCGGTGACGTGTATGTTTATGTAAGTTCTGCTCAGTGAGCTCCTTAGTTAGCCTATTTTTACAGTTCATTGTTAAATGTTTCAGAGAGACAGAGTGGAGTGGGAGAATACTCTTCAGCCTGTCTGACAAGTCCAGCTTCTCCTGTGCTGCATAATGCATTTTGTTTCACTTTCTGATGACTTAGAAATAAAACTACAAACTATAACTGACACCGTACTTCGAGGCAGACTGTCCTCAGTATGTTCAATAAATCCCATTTCTGTCTTACTTTTAATGTTTTTCTTCTGTTTTTTGTTTGTTTTTGTATCCTCTATATATTTAGATATAGAAGTGGTTTATAGATCTGAACAGATGAGAATTAACTTCTGTCTTTCATAGTTTGTAGCCTCTTTTAATTATTCGAAGCTGGTTGTTTTGGCATTCTGGTCCCGGTAAACATAAAAGCCATTTCCAGCTATCACTCTCTGATCTGTCAAGCCTTTTGTTTGTTTCAGCATTGCCTGAAATGATGTGTGTTTGTACACAGGCAACAAAGCCCTCCATTGGCCATTGACTGAGTGACTTGCCAGCAGAAATGAGTTAACCCGGTCATAGAGCTACAGACCTGCATACATCCAGGTGATCTGAGCAGGTCAATGAAACATTTCAAACATGATCTGCTGGTAATCTCCAGTTTGGAAAGGTAAGTCCTGCTAATTCCACCCCCTTACGCTAAAGACATCTTTAGAAGTATGATAAGAAAAACCCAGATCATTTAAAGTAATTTTTGCTGGGATTTGGGTTGGGTGTCATGACAACACAATTCTGCCAACGCTCAATTACTGCACAGCTTACAAAGTGTCATTTAGTGCAGTTTAGTGTCGTTAACGTCTGTGCTGTCGCTCAGATACACAAAGGTCTAACAATGTTTCTTACCCTGCAATACATACTATTACGGACCGCTAACATATGAAAAAGCTCCTAAAATATGGTTCAAGAGGAAACAGGGAAAAGTTGATGACAATTGTTGATGACAATTAGAAGTTTTTTCTGTTTTGTTCATTCACCACCTGTATGATTTCTATTCTCACTCAGTTATACCAGAGGATGAAAGACAGCTAACATAAGACAGGCCTTTTAGACAGTGTTCATATTCAGAAAGATTTTTTAAAAGCCAACACGTAGCAATTTACTACACTTTACATGATATTGTTGAACATCTCCAACCTTTGTGCTCAAAACTTGTTTAATATTTAGCAATAAAATGTATTTTACAAAGAAATGTCATCATTTTATCATCACCTATTGTCCATACCACTTGTTTCTTGTGGCATAATTTTATGTTTAAGTTTATGCATTTAGCAGATGCTTCTATCCAAAGTGACTAATAAAGTAGACACAATTTTCCAATTATCATCAATATGAGAATAAGTTCTCTAGAGGGGCACAGAGCTCTGGGTAAGAGTTAGGATAAGATATGCTCTTTGAAGAGGTTGTACTTTAAGAGTTTCCTAAAGATAAACAGAGACGCTGCTGCTCTCGTAGCGCTTGGTAGGTCATTCCACCATCTTGGAGCAACACATGAAAACAGTCTGGATTGTCTTAAGCGTGGTAGACGGGAGCCGTACCCTTAAGCACTTTGTAGGCCAGCATCAGGGATTTGAATTTGATGCGGGCAGCCAGTGGTAAATTCTTTTAACAAATTTTTTGTGATAAAAACTGAATATTTGTAACATCTGAAGGTATATTTGTATCTTAATTAAACTTATATTTGTACCTTAATTGAACTCCTTTGAACATAATAATGAATACTTGTTGTGCAGTTTACCTTTTTCGCTTGTTTTAGGGAAAAACCTTTTTTTTAAATAGAGGGTATTATGTTTTCTGTCATTGGAGGTCAGATAGGTTTTTCTCTGTTTTCCAGTGTCCATCAATGACACGTACTCCCATCTGTTTCTTTGATGGTGAATTTGTCCGTTCCTTGGTATTTTTCCTTGCTGCGAGCACAACTATACTGCTGAGCTCAGCGAAAAATGTGTGTGTTTGTGCATATAGGCTGTGGGGACATGTGGAGACTGAAGACTCATTAGCATAATAATAGACTTGGATGCATGTAGACAGGCAGGCGGTGTGTGAGCACGTGTGCATGTGTGTGTGTGTGTGTGTGTGTGTGTGTGTG